TATTAAATCCATGCCCTAAACGAATAGATACAAAATGAAAATGTATGTCAGTTTCAAAAAAAAATAACGGAAATGTTAATATTCACCGATTACCAAACTAGATCAAGACTTATAGTCACAAGAACTGGCGATTCGAACGACAAAGCACAACCTTATATTTTTACAAAAAAAAAGAAGTACCTATAAAACATTCTACACTATCCAAGAACATCGCATCTAAAAAAAGTTCCTGTACCCTCGTTAACTGAAGGTGCCAACAAAAGCAAGGAAATGAAGGTATCGCAGTAAAAGGCCTCTGTCGATAATCACCAGGCGTTGCCCGTAAACTTAACGGCTCTATTTTGAGAACCCTATCAAATGTCGAATAGTCTACTCGATGTAAATTGGCAACGATTCCATTTATTTCCTTCAGAACTTTTATTGGGATTGGAATAATCAGCTTTTTATGGAATAGGGCTTAAACGAGCAGATGGATCACCTGTTTTCGATGCTCATAGATACACGCAACAGTAATAGAGTTTCTAGCCTTTTTCGGGTTAGCCGGAATTGCTGGTCGAGTCCAAAGAATGTATTGCAGCCAGGCAGTAGTAGCGGAACGGAATGATTTTTAGTCAGTAAATCTAACACTCTCTTTCGCCCATACCGCCCACTTTGTCCACTCAAAAAAATCTTTGTATTTGATTGAAGTATTAGGCATTTGATAGCTTTTGTGAAGCCGTTGTATCACTCCTGTCTATCCCACCCATTCGTGTCGAAACATGGTTCGCCCACATTTAAAAGATACAATAACAGTTAGTAATTTATTTTTGTTAAGGGTTGATTTGACGCATAGCGTCTGATAATGAGTGAGGCTTCGCTTGCGAGCACAATCCTACAGACAATTTCTATTAAATCGCGATGTGATTATTTGAGTAATTGCTTCAAATCATTCTTTGCCATTTCTCGAAATTCACTTCATTCATTAAATAATTCAACCAATTTCGCAACTAATTTATTAACAGATTACTAAATGATTCTTCTAGAATCAAAAGTCAAATATTCATGACCTTAAAATACAAATTTATTCAAAAAGATCAGGCAGATAAACGATTTCGGGCGAACTTTTTTCCAATGACCCTTTTTAAATTAATTACTAATTCTTTGTGGTACTTTAAACAAAGCCTGGCATTTGAACATTATTCATTTGAAATCCCAAATGGATTTTTTTCCGAAAAACCTCATTGAAGAGATTATGGAAGCAGAAATCCCGTGGGAGAAATAAATAATTAATGTCTTTACCAAGTAAATCTTGAACCACTGGGGACTAGTTAACATGGCCAGCTGAGTATAAAAGAGAAAAGGTAAAATTTAATGAATGGACTTTACATTACTTGGAATACGGTTTATAATTAATTGGTTATAGTTTTATATTTTATTTTCAAGGTGAAACTTCTCTTCGCATTTCTCATTTCTAATAACTCTCAAAGTGATCATTTGGGGTCGCGAAAATTTCGAAACAAGAATACAATTTGTTACACCTTAAACTTAATTTTATAGATTTTTTGAAGGTGGACAAGTTAAAAAATCTTTTCTCTCAAAATCCTCCCCTATTTTATTTGCCCAATTTTTAGGGTTACTTCCAGAAGGGGTAAAAGTGCGGGCTCTGTTACTAAGACTTCAATGTCCGTCTACAGTTGAAATTTGGATAGACGTTGTACATATTTTTGGTGCCCCAACAACAAATAGTAAACACAAAGAAAGTTGAGATGAATACTTATAGGAGGACCAAATACAACAAGCTTGATTTTAATACGAAAACATTAATATGCCAGTTTGACTAGCACTTGGCCCAAATTATTTTATTATTGTTTAAAAACTATTAAAATCTAATACAAAATTGAACTGAAGAGTGATTATTATATACAGGCGAGATATGCGCAGACGAGCATATCTACACATGACCTGATGATAAGCAACCAATGTCCCTACAGACACCTATAATACCAAAGAAATCCCAAGTTTGCTGACCTTTTGGGCTTTAGGAATTTGGAGATCGAAGGGGGAGGGGAAACAACGCAAGAGTTTTTGTATGAAAAGATGTGGTCTCTGGTAGAGCCCAGCCATTCCTGACGAAACATAGTTCTACTTCATTTTAATTTATAAATAGCTCTTAATATTAGCCAAAAGTCTTAGATGAATTTTCTATTATATTATACCTACATACAAAAAAAGATTCGTTTCGATTTCGCCAACGTAATCTGGCCACGTAATAAATGCAACGTCCGCAGAACATAAATCAGTAAAGTGTAAATAAATAATATTCCCCACTCTAGGTCAAATGCTATTTTCAGCGCGACCGTTATAGAATTCTATTCACAGACAAACGCTTCATATGAAAAATTGTACGGAACTATCAGGATCGTATTTAGTTTATAATATCTGCCGAAGTTTAAAAATTGTATTGATCTTTCTTGATGTACATACGTTATATCTTTACTAATATCATAAAGAGGTAAAATTTGGTAGTTTGTATGTAGGGGGTAATCTTTGGAACCGCTGGTCAGATTGCCAAAATTCTTTCACTGGTAGATAGCTACAATGTTCCTAAGTGCTATAGGCTATAAAACAGCACGCTATGATTAAATGGAGCCGACCAGCGGGTGAAACCGCGCGAGGTAGGTAGTTATGTTGTAAAACTGTAAGTTTCTTGAGGCACCTGAGCAAATCCATGAACACAACCTTTTGGTTGGTTGTATTATTAGAAACATTATGATAAATATAATAATTACTGTATCATCATAAACATCTCCAGACTATAAATATGTAACTGATAAGAATTAAACATCGTGCTTGTCAAGGTGGATAGAGCTAGCGTGGATCTTTAAAAACGGAACCAAAAAAAATAATAATTCATGACATTTTTCTTCACAGCATGTCGATAATGTAATATTTTTTAGAAAATTACATAGGTTATTAACCCCTAGGCTATCAAGACTGTTAAGTTTATTTAAATAGACCTGACACATATATATAGGCTGAAAGCTGTACATTAATAAACATTTTGAAGTTCAACAGTAAGTAATTATTGGTCAAACTTATACATTACGTAAGTACATATGCTAGAGCCTAGCTAGAGCATATCAGTGGTGGTTATTTAAAAAAAAACCACTAACCCAAAATGATTCCAAGATTTTTCTAAATATAATTAGATTTTACTAGATAAAAGATTTTTCAGGTAGATTTTACTAGATAAAAGCTACCTAGAGAATAATTATGATGCTGTCCCACAAGAATGTTTGTATAAGATAGTAACAGCAACAACTTTATTCCTCAGATAACATTTATCTGACTATTGAAAAATGAACCCTTTTTTATGTAATTGGTCGGCAAACGAGCAGACGGATTACCTGATGGTAAGCAATCAGCGCTGCCCATGGACAACAACGGCAACGGAGGAGTTACGAGTGCGTTGCCGACCTTTTACCCTTAGTAACAAATAAATTTATTTGACGCTTAAATTATATAAATAAATTTTCTTTATAACAAATTCATTAATTTATAATAATACGAAAGTCATATTGACTTAAATCTAGATAAATAATTAAGCACTAAACACGAAATAGCACTCAAAGTTAAAACTTGATAGAAATACAAATGAATAAACTAATACCACTATTGAAATGGGTTTTCAAATTCAAATTTATTATTCATAAACTGAGAAAAGTTTATATAAGATCTTTAAAGAAAATAATGTTGTATCTTTTACTACCTAATATAGTCATTTAAGGGGTTATTTTTCAATGGTTAGATAAAAGTCATCTGGGGAATAATTATGATGCTGTCGCGTCAGAATGTATGTATAAGACAGTGACAGCAACAATTTTATTCTTCAGGTAACATTTATCTGACTATTGCAAAATCAGGCCTTAGTAGTAGGCCCTGACCACGGAGTTTCTTGCTCGTTCTTCTGTATAGTACTGTAGATACTCTGTCAAATAGTTGGTGTAAATTTATGTTAAGTAATTCGTTGACCAAGTGACTTATGGGATATCCACACATTTGTTTGGTTTTGTAAAGATATAACGATTATCGATACAGAACTCGGCCGGAGGGCTGTTTCACTACTTTTACTCAATTACCCGATAAATGTATGTGGCACATAGCCCATACAAATTACGTTCTACAATCAATTTTATATGGCACATAGTATCTAGCCAGCCAGTGTAAAAGAAGCCATAATACAGTTATAATAGAAAATGAAATCGCCTACACTGTTAACTGCATTACGGGAAATAAAAGTTTACTATACAGTAGTCACTAAGTACCCCATAAATTGGCATTTAGAAGTATATTTATGGTTCTGTAAATCAGACCCGACTTAGTAAAAGCTTTTGAAATAGGGAAAAGACCACTTAAAGGCTTCATAGTTATCAAGTTTTTTGGCTTCTTATGAAGCCGTGGTCTTTACTAAAAGCTGGCCTGAAACAACGCTCACGTCATGTTTGGCTATATGATTGAGGATACCAGAGGCTGAATATAACTTAATGCAAGTTAAAAACGGCTGATGTCTTGTACGGGAAAAGTACTCTGTATGTAAATATTTTGGTCTTTTGAAGATAAAAAGTGTCTAAGTATTACTATAAGTAATACCAGCAAGTACTTCAGAATACTCTAAACGTACATTTTTATTTAAAACATACAAATTTTGTTTGCGTAAGTGAGAATATCGTGAAACCTAATTAAGTCCACAACAATATTTAAAACAAAAGAGCCTAGTTATCAATCAAGAGAATTTTAGTCGAAAAGTGCAGGTGACTTTAGAGTGGTTATTACCTGATGGTAAGCAATCGGCGCTGATCAAGGAAGAAGTTGCAACTGCATTGGGAAAAAGGTGCTGCGTTTTGGTAAAACGGTGTTCTGGGGAAGGATGATAGCAGAGAAACTATCGGGTCTCCGGTATCCTCACTCACACAGCCCTGTGGCATTTAAAATTGCTTTAAGACAATATAAAACATACATACCCAATTGCACGAGTTCCAGTCGTTTGTCAGTGACGAAATGCCAAGGGAACGCCTTGCAGAAGCTAGCCACTCCGATCTTCAAGTCTGTCACTTTTGTAGACGTCGCAATATTCGATGCCTCTGATTGCTCACAATCACTGTCTTTAGATTTTTGATGTAATGGAACTGCGTTTATTTCGTACCTAAAATAATGATTAAATTGTTAGCAAATTAAACAAGTCGATCATTAACACTTTTAGTAGGTAATTCTCGATAGTTTTGTCTGTCTGTCATGACCAATCAAAGTTAAAATCATTCATTCCAACTACACCTTTGTAGTTAATTCCTTTCGAAACATCAAAATAGAGAACAATAGTCTATTAGTTAAGCTAGGTCTAAGTTTGTCTAGGTATAATGGTTCTGATTAATACAATAAGTTTTTTAAATATTTAATTCGATTTTTCGAAAATAGGTGCTCCTTCTGCGGGTCTAATTAAAAACATGTTCAAGCAAATATCTTTCTTAATGAAAATCTCAACATAATCTCAAACACAAGTCCATTGGAAAGCACTGAAGGCGCATTTTTCAAAGTTGATGCAAAAAATAGACATTTTCCTTTGTATTGTAAACTTCACAAGCAATTAACAGAGGATCGAATTTCTAATAGAAGCTGATAGGAGGGCGAAAGTCAATAGCTAATTCCAAAGTTTGAAGGGATGACTCATTATTTCTTGGCTTATTTTATATATCTGCTTTACTTGGCGAGCCGTTGCAAATGACTCAGAATAAAAATATACATTATTTATTTTATGCTATTCAATTATGAAAATCAATCGATTTAGCATCGATTTAATGAAACACGTGTTTTTTGGTAAAGAATTTTTACTTGTTTCAAGTGGAGACGATGTGAATCCGATGATGTTTTTTACATAAAATATTAGGCTAGAACTCAAGTTAAACTTACAACAAAAATGTGGTTGCTACTTATAATATTTATCTGTTATCTGCAAAGCGTCTAGTCTTTAACTTCAAAAGATTAGATGAAGTGGGTTTGTGATGACCAAAATTGCTTAGTACCTTAGATAAAATTAGGAAATTCATATAATCTTTTTAAAAGAATAACCTGAAGATAGTGGCTCCTTCTGCTAAATGAACCGTTATCATCTATCAGTCTTTATAATTATTAATTATTAAATCTAAATAAAACACTCAAAATAATCTACATTATTATCGTGGTATACGCAATTTAATAATAAACTATCGATTACGACCTTGAATGCATGAAAAATGCGTAATCATACATTGCGTAAACAATACAATCCATGTAAAAATAGCGTAACCTTTGAACATTCAAGGAAATAACTATTGAAGCGTTTCTGTTTAAAGTAAAGTGAAAATGGCCAAAATTGATAGAGATATGATATATTTTGTACAAGTTTTCATTTGTATACTATATACCATTTTTTGTTTCGTCATTTGCCTAAGGATTTACTTTTTCATTATATCCATTTCGCCTTTGAATTTAATAACTTATACTACCTACTGACATTAATTATTCTTTTTAATTTAAAACCTAGATAATAGTTGTCGGTATCGTTATCAATCGATTTAGGACTTTTTTCTGAATACAAGGACCACCGTTCAATCCCTCAAATTCTCTTCTTGAAAAACTAAATATTTTTTTAAGCTAAGCTAAATTTCTTGTCTTTGTCTTAGGCGAGTAGGAAATTTAGACAGATATATAATAATACATAATTCGTTACAAGACTCTATCGAGACTTTTCTTAAAGCATTACAAAAATATTTAAAATTACTTACTTAAATCTCCTAGGATCGTTAGTATAACTTGTCAGTCTTATGTCCGTCTGTGTGTCATATAAAAGCCTTGCTATGGATTTTAAGCTGCCGACAAGCAGGTATGCCACCGGTTCACTCTCTGTCGTCAGATGAAGCTCAATTTTTCCCTCCTGTGATGTAGTGCAAACGAAATTTGCCTCGTACTCCACCGTTTCATCTTTTAATGCATCGTCCTGTAGAAAAAATTGGTTGTTAATAGATTTTGTTTCGACTAATTGCTATTAAATGTGGGGGGGGGTGCTATAGGATTATTGTATTTTTTGTGTTAAGTTATGATTATATGTAGATTGATTTGAGATCAAACTTTTTGATAAAATATGATTGTTTTTAATTCCCATTAAAATTTTTGTTTCTATAGGCTTCTTCAAAATATTTTGTATTGTTACTGTAAAATATTTTAAGAATCTTCTGCAATGATAAAGTCGTGACCTTGAAAACGCAATGTCACAAAAAATGCGTCTTAACGATCTTTTTTGACATTTGCAAAGACGTTTTTATTTCACTTTAAATAAAATATTAAATAAGTTTTGAACCATATTTTAAGATTAACACTATTACTTGTAACGACGTCATCATCGATATTTAATGATTACGTAAACTATTCCTTAGTAACGGGCTAAGTAGTCATTAAATGACTCTGAGATAAGTTTGTATAGAGAGACACGTGAAATTTATTGAAAATAACGACAAAGGTTGGCTGCGTGACATCGCTGCGGCCCGCAATATGCTCATAAATAAGAGCGGTACTCTTATTCTGACTCGTAACTAGAAGAGCTTTTGTAAGTTGATTCACGTGAGTAAGTCATTATTTACAATAAATTTAGTTTTTAACCTGATTGTACAATTTTATTGCTCTTACCTGATCATGTAAAACATCGTGCACGCTGTCTAAAGTAGTTAGAAATTCAGTCAAATTGGTGCCTAAACATTTAAACGCTCTCTCCAGTCGACAGTTATGTGAGAACGCCGTTAAAATTAAATATTCGCCTAATTTTGCCATAAAATCCTTAGTGCTAACACCTGCAACAAGCAATAGAAACTTTATTAGATTATAATATGGTTGATAATTATATGATTGATGTATGCGTTTTAAGACCTTCCAAAATGAAACGTAATTTAGATTTTAATAGCGCTCATCTAGAAACTGAAATATGGCAATGTTCGCTTTAAAACTTGTGGAATGATAAAGGAATATTATATTCTAGACAAGATTATAAATGCTTGAAGGCTTAAAGGTTAAAATGGAATGGACTTTATGGAGCCATTAAATATTTCTGTAAAAGAAAATAAAGATAAAGGGTTAAGTGGAATGTTGTCTTGTCGACATCGTCGAGAAAGTTTTACTTGGTACATTTGTAGTATTATAAAGAAAAATTCTTTAACCGTTTTTTTACCGGTGGGGATTTTTTTCATAGAATAGGAGGCAAACAAGCCGTTGGATCACCAGAAGAGTCACAGTTGCGTTGCCGGCCTCAAAAGCTGGGTTTGGTATAAGCTAAAAAATTTTACAGGGACTCTAAACCACACGATGGCTGGCAGTGGTTGGATGAGAATAGCTGAATATCGGATGTCCAGTACTGGACGGAATCAGGCTGATGATGATGTTGAAAGGACTACACAAGTTACTTGAGATAAACCTAACAACAGCACCCTCTGATAAACATGAACCTATTAATCTGCGATCTTCACCTCGTCTACCAAGTCTGATGATTAAAGCTCCCTGTCATTTCTTTAAGCCTGTGAGTGGTCTTTGTTTCTTATTTTATTTTATACTTATTTTTTCATGTTAAATTGACATTTGAAAACTTTGACTAAAAAAAAAGTTGAGTGAAATCATCCGCTAATGCTGTTCTCAGCTGGTGTGGCAGATATCGAATAAATTCCTTCCATTAAATTGTTATCAATTTCGTGTTGGTTAAATTTTTTACGCAGACGGATTACCTGATGGTAATCAACCAGCGCCGCCCATGAATATCCGCAACACCAAAGGAGTTACGAGTGCGTTGCCGGCCCTTTAGGGATACGGGTTTCAAGGATTGGGAAGATATGGGGGAGGAGGGTGATTGGGCCTCCGGTAACCTCACTCACACGGCGAAACACAACGCTGTGGTTGTTTCACGTTTGGGTTGATGTGAATTGCTTCTAAATATTTTTGTTTTCATTTAATATTCCAATTACCCACTTGATTTAACGATACTTAAAGAAGAAAAAGATTAAGAACAACTTTATTATCTACAATTTTTCTTTGGAACTAAAAATCGTTTGAAGAGGAACCATTTGAAGCGTAATTTAAATGAATGTTTGTTACTCATTCGTACATAATGTAAATTAACTTCCTTTGTGAATTGACTAATACTGTATTTTGACATTGCATCGGAAATTACTATTATTTCCACACCAATTGTTGTTGTGGCCTGGAGGTTAAGGTGCCCGCCCACTTCTAATCCATCCATGATTTCAAGCATGAATGTGACTTTTTTAAGTTAAGTATAAGTACTTTTTAAAATAACTTATACACCACTGTGACAAAACACTATTATGAAAACATTGTGATGAAACCTGGAATTATGATTTCTAATTAGTACCTATAGAGCAAGCGATTTTATTTTAAACGTTGCCCCGCATTAGCCTTTTTATATGTGTCTCGTGGGTGCGCTTACAAACATAAAAATATTCACATAAACATCAAATCTAGACTAAGAACAACGGTTTGTTGATCACACAAAGAGTTTTTACGTGCGGGAATCGAACCGGCGACAGTTTTCACAGCAGCCAATTGCCCAGCCACTGCGCTAAAAAAGGCCTTTGCTCTGCAATGGGCACTTAAAGATCATGACCTGACATTTGTTCTAATTGGGATTCTGAGATGCGTATACTGTCTGGCACTTAATTCAATATTTTTTAAATCCATACCCTACACTTTTATTTTCTCCTGTGTAATGGCTGCGTTTATGAACATCTTATCTTTTTGTTCCGTGTGAGAATTCAACAATTTCAACCATTTCAACCATTCACTGTATCCATCCCCTGTAGTGTGATCACGTATGCATTCATCAATATTTTTATTGATGAATGCAAGTTGACGATTGGAATTCATCGTACAGAAAATATATTTTATAAGACATTAATTAACTAAGCATGTAGCTTTTCATATGTATAAATAGTGTTGTATATTGAATAAAGTGATCACATCTTACTAGGTATTAGTTATCTTAACTATACCTCGACAAATATTTCTGAATTTTGTTGACTCTAATTACCACCTGAGGACCCTGTTTGTCACCTGTATGTCCCTACATCACATTACCTCAATAAGTACCCTCTCAAAAATCTTTGTATAACATCTACACATCTATCAACAAAACACCAGCAGCTAATGAATCATTAATTTTAGATAATTTACAAATTTAATCATAGAGATATTAGATTATTAAGCGTTGTGCTTTAACTCGGCTTGTTACATGAAACTGTAATTGATCAATTCCCGCGATAACCCGATAACATGATTACAATTTGTATTATCTATCGGAGGCTTTATATTGTACTGTCAAACTAAATTGAGTCTGTGCTTGTTCTTTGCATCATACCATTTAATAAATATTAATAATAATTAATTTGCATGTTATTCATATTTTTTGCATATTATTATTATTAAGCGTCGATTGACCTGACTGCACGGATGCGGTGGCTGGGCAACGTAACAATTCTTTGTCATCATCATCATCATCAACATCAGCCTGTTGTCGTCCACTGCTGGACATAGGCCTCCCCAATTGCACGCCACTGAGCTCGATGTTCAGCTCTTCTCATCCAACCACTGCCAGCCACCCTGCGGATGTCGTCAGTCCACCTAGCTGGAGGGCGCCCTAAACTTCGTTTGCCTAGACGTGGTCTCCCACTCCACAATTCTTTGTATGATCGACAAATAGTTCCAAGTCTTGATCTGATGTGTATGTAATATTGTATATTAGTAAACGCACCCATGACACATGTGAAAATCCTGGCGTAGGGCATAGTTGATTTTAAAAAAGAGAAAAAAAAGTTGCTTATCATTTTTGTGCATATCAGTTAGCAGTGTGAAAGTTAAATAGCACTCGTATTTGTTACTAGGTACGATCTATGAAAACGGAACATGGGTTCATAAGAGCACATGGCCGATAAAAGCCATGTACCGGCAAACTTACAGGAGATCCACCCACTTATGGCTCATATGACAATAATGTGACATGATCCATGAAATTACAATTCTACCAACATAGCCTTCCCCAAAGTGTCAGAAAACAGAATATTCTGGAAAAAAAATACGTTGAAACATTCCATGTCAGACAGTCGGCAGATGTCAGTCATTTGCGTCGCACTCTGAATCTCGGTTTCATGTTGACACGATGTTACTTCAAAGCGACGCCATGACGACTGTTAGCTTTGAAACAAAGCATTCGAATGTACTGGCCAATGAATGAACTAGTCGTTTTGGAAATCGAACGCTTATGTTACTAACGCGAATTTTGATGTTCGAGTTTCGTTTGCGTTTGGGATTGATTATGTCCTATGAAATGTTTTTTTTTGAATTAGGTTTGGTACACATGTTCAGCCTATAAGTGCTCACTGCTAATTAAAGGTCTCTTCTCACAGGAAGAAGGTTTGAGCTTTAGCTTATTATTAGGAATTATAAGTTCATAAATGTTAATGGTATTAAAATAATCTTAGAAAGTTCATACATCTAATTCAATAAAAGTTGCATGGTACCTGCCAGGTTTCGAAACCTCATGTACGAGAAGCGGACGCCTTAACCTCTAAGCCACCACAATATGGGATTGATACAAAGGAAAGAATTTCTACTGCCTTTTTATTCTATATCAGTATTTTGTCTGTTAGTCAAACGCTGTACAAATGTAATGGATGTGACGATAAAAAAATGTATAAATTTTGATTCGATTCTAAAGTTTTATAGTTTAAAAAAAAACAATCCTACTACCTATTAACAAAAGATACATTTCGCATTCAAATTTATTAAAACCACCACTGTGACTCGTATCATTTCTACTTCAACCGCAGCACGTCAACAAAACATTGTTTCAACCTTTATTAATATAACTTTCACACGAAATTAGATAACGACAGAGTGCGACAAGTTACGCAACTTGGTGACAGAAGGAAAATATTCTCAAAATGGTAGAATTAAATTTATAAGACTGACAACGATTTCGGGAATTTGTGCTCTAAAAATAGCGTTATGGATTAAGTGGCGTTAACTTGTTATCCATCGATAAGAACTTTATTAAATAAAAGATAGATATTACAAAAAAAAAAACAGTACTTAACGACTACACGACTGAAAATAAATAACATACAATCATTTTATTGTAATACCGTTTTGCCCTAGTTTTGTCAATAAGGCTTAAAGTACCATGAGATCATGACTGGGTTGAGATTGTTTTAAACATTGTGCTGTAAATATTCTTAAAATACAAGAATACTAATTAATTTTAAACAACAACGGGTTGTGGTAGAATCTCTTTTTTTGATACATTTTTCAAACAGCTGTCAGATAGCACAATTTCTTACTGAACTTCTTTTTTTAGTGACCATTTTTGTATTTGGAAACATTATTATGAACGGTTAGTAAACTAAAAATTGTCCACAAAATACTCTGTGGCATTTTGAAAATAGCGTTTTTAAGAATAAATAAACCAAAATAAAATAATAAAATATAATAAATAAAATAAATCCACAAACGATTTATATTTTTAGGGCAGCTAAAAATATAAATCGTTTGTGGATTTTCACAGGTAGTTGGACTTGACGATACAGAGCCGCCATCTCACGGGAAATGTTTTTAGAAGACATTCATTGGCGTCGCCCATGGACACCAGGAACACCAAGGAGGACAAGTGCGTTCCCAGCCTTTTGGGGGTTAGGTTTATTTACTATAATCTAAGCATGTTGTAAAGCATCCTCTGTCAAAAATATTGACCCTTACAACAATAACGAGGTGATGAATATACTCCGCTAACATCCCATCATCGTCATCATCATGAGCCTATTGTCGTCCACTGCTGGACATAGGCCTCCCCAATTCAAATTCAAATTCAAATTCTTTATTTGCATGTTAAGGTGGGTTGTTAATTGCACGCCACTGAGCTCGATGTTCAGCTCTTCTCTTCCCATGGTCTTGCCAAAATATTTTGGATAAGCTTAGAAGTTTCTAAACTTATAAACATTAGACCTTGGCTGTTAGCCACAATAGGCAACCAAATTTTATTTTCATTGTGGAAATCGACATTTCTATATAAATATTTATGTATGCTTTTAAGTGTCGAATTGAACAGTTATTTCTTAAAATTTAACTAAAAAAGGCTTACAGAGTATATATTTTTTTAATCATTTAAGTAATACGAGATTTAAAAGTCGAATCAATTTATTTTTTATTTTTCACTAAGTCGATACCCATATCATGAGAGCAAAAAGGTCAGACGTCAAATGTAGTTTCAAAAAGTTTCCATACAGAAACAATGTACATGAAATATTTTACTTGATTATTTGACAGATCGTTTATCACTCGTGGAGTTTACATCGTAAACTGTAAGTCTTATTGCGATCGATGATTAAATAATATGATAGATTATTATGTATTATCTGTTTTATTTTCCCATGTTCTTGTCAATCTAATGATAATTTCTGTTGTTTTTTGCATGACAATATTTTAAATGGAAGAGCTTTGCTTTGGCATGCATGGACCGGTTCGACTGGAGTGATACCACGGCCTCACAGAATACCGGCGTAAAATTTGAGATGTGTTTCCTGGTGTGAGTGATGCTACCGGAGGCCCAATCCTTCATCAACCCACAAACACTAAAAACCCTAATAACTTACGAAACGGCGGCAACACTCTTGTAACTAACTCCTGTGGTATTAAGCGTGTCAGCGGCGCTGATTGTTTATCATCAAGTTATCATAAACAATCATGAGATACTTTCGATTTATTAGGTTATCTGTTGTCTTTTGTTTTGCCTAATGTTCATGATATGAGGCCTTCAACGTGCCTTGTACTAATGCTCTACCAGTGCAGTTTCACCCGCAAAATGGCGTGATGTTTTATAGCCTTCCTTGATCCTTGATAAATGTGTAAATCCATCACAAAAAATATAAAAAAACTACTTTACAGATTAAAACTCCCCTCAGCCGTCAGTATATATTTTCGTTGCCTCTAATAACGTGTTCTGTTTGTGTACAAAATTAATGACTCAATTATTTATGATAGTGATGAATAGATACTTACTGTCTGTAGCCCGCACCGCGTCGTAAATTTCCTGCAAGTACGCGTAATTCCTACAAGTTTTTACGTCGTCGGGAAGTCTTCGTCTGTAAACAAAATGCTTATATATATATTTAGGTTCATTAACAATGAAATGGGTGAGCAATAACAATAAAAACGAAATGTTTCTATTTTGTTTTATGCTTTGTTTGTTACAAAATTACGATTCCAATTGTTTTGTTTTCCTTAAAGTGTATTGATGTAAAACGCGCAGAATGTGTCTGTTCTTCTTTAAGGCAGACACGTGTTTTGTCGCACAGCATTCATTTATTTATTTTCCTTTACTTTGAGAAACTAGAGTAGCCTTTTTTGATCCTGTATTTTACTCATTATTCTATTTGTTGTCTATTAGTGTCTGATGTTTTGCGTATAACCTTCGATGACGAGCTATCCTTTTTTTAGGAAATAAGTATCAAATGACTTCTTCTGCCCAGGGTGGGTCGAAAGAGTCAGACTCTTGCTGATTAAAAACCTGTTCCTTCTCCTGCTTTAAGCCGAGGCCGCGGTGCCTTATTGCACGTGCACCGCAACCCCCGCCGAATATTAATCCTATAAGACCCTGTCTTTAATGATTTTTTGGGTATGACAAGCTATGCTGACATAGATATATAGCCATGATGAGCTACCGCGCCAAATATTTGGTTTTATCAACATGCATGATTCTTAGAATCTACCTATACTTGTCTTAAACACAAATCACAATTTGAAGTCAACCAAGATCCAAAATTAACTTCAAAAGTTGTTCTAAGAAGCCGCAAATACTCTCGAATCTTACACAATTACGATTAAAGCTAAAAGCCATGTATCTAAAACAAAGAACAAACAAACATGTAATTTCCCCTTGTACTCTTAAAGAGTATTATTACCCGGCCAATTTAAGTGATCTTCGTAATTAAATATGATTTTGCAAGTTGAAAATAATTAGCAAGTACTACTTAGGGAGTGTAGGTGTATTCTATTTTGATACGGTTTATATTTACATATATTTAGGCGTAATGTGTTTTATCATTAAGGGGTGCTGTGGTAAAATGATCTTTATGTCCTTGTAGGTTGGAGTGTTATGGTGTAAATGGGGTGTGGTTTTAACGATTATATTATTGTTGTTTGTGGCAATCGATTGTTGAAATACTTTTGTTAACCGGTTAACTTTCATTTACAATATTTTTAGTAGGTTTAGAGAAAATTATTTTAGCACAAGAGTAGATCTTAGTCTCATTGGATTTTAATAAAAGTGTTTCCTACACTTCTTTAACCTCTATTTTAAAAATCCAAATTGATATTTTTCTGATATTGTTGATTTATCGTTAGAGATTCGAGAAGTTCGGGATGCAAGTGCATTAATGTACCGCAGCTTCAGCCCAGAGCAGGAGAAGGAACGGAATACTTATTAGACAGTAAAAATCTAAAACTGCCTGTCGTCTACATCAGTGCGGGACAAACCATTACATGATATTATACCTCGAAAAAAATGGGACCAAAGACTGCGCCTTGTGACAGTTCTGTAATATGCATTTAGTACCTACCTAGTTACAGAATAAAATTTCAAATCCTTCCCACATTATAAACATGTGAAAGTTTGTAAGACACGTTATAAACATGTGAAAGTTTGTATTTTTCATTCTTTCACGCAAATACGGCTAGACCGATTTGGTTGAAATAAGTGATACCATAGATAGGCTACTTTTTATCAACATTCCACGAAGGTGAATCCGTGGAAGGAAGCTTGTTATATATACAGGATCAAAATAGGTCTTAAAATACATCGCCTACTTGGACAACTTCCACCATATACATATATGTATGTACATAGGATCTACACAAATTAGGTCAAAGTCTATCTTACATTAGCTATTTTCATATGAAGCCAACTTTAAAGGCAGTTTTAATTTTGTGAAGTAGTTTGTGCTAAAGCAGTGCCAACAACGATGTCTGTGATAAATATGGTGATTCAAGCTCTCGTGATTTTTACATACAATACAAGTATTAACTGGGTGAAAGAGATTTTAGGTGTTAAATTTAAAAAGAGGTTCTTTATAAGTCTAGATCAAATTATATTTCCTTTTGCGGTCATAATCTACGCATTTTGTACTTTTATATTATTTATCTAGAGATTCGGTCAATTGTCCAACTATCACGCTAACAACGGAAAGATCGATATTTACCAATTTCCCCTTCTACATTTTTTTTTTTTTCAGAAGAAAATAGCCCTGATTATAGCAATCACAAAAATAATTGGCCTTATTTATCTAGGCGTTGTTAAATAAGTTATACTCTTCGCAAAACACTTTTTCCATGATTTTTTGTTTGATTTTTTCCAGGGCAGGCCTTATAACATCTGATTCTGTTATATAGTGACTGTAGTATACCAATTTATATTATATAAGAAATGTAAGTCAAAGTATAAAAAAATGTAAGGAGCCAATATTGAATTGTATGAAAGTAAATTTTCATACACACTATAAAAATATTAGTAGTGCTAACAATTTTTGGCCATCCAAAAGCTGTCGCAAAGAGAATGCAGAATGTGATATGACTGTCCATTGTAAATTTCGAACATATTTTTACTTAGTTGTAATGTAATGTAAAGTAAAGAGTCCAGTTACTGACTTTAAACTTGTAAGGTTTTCTCAAATAATTCACGAGAATGTGTCGTTATTGACAAAACTTATTTTATTTGATCTAGAAGCACATAGCTTGTAATTTTTCCATTTCTTTTTTCATTGAAGCTAGATCTCTTTCACCCTTTTTTAATAAGAATCACAATATTACTCACTTAAGTTTTTCTCTTGTTTTACTTGTGTAGATCCGCATAAAAAACCTTGATATTGTTATCCATATTGGATTGGGCTGGAAGTCGACCCTATTTGGGACCAAAATTTAATAAAATTTTAGTTTCTTCAGACAACATTTACGATTTAATGTGGCTTAAAAGAAGCTAGTATTGAGTTGAAAAATGTCTGTAAAAATGTATTTTACTAATAATTGGAGGCCAACAAAACATATATCTATCAATCGCTATTATATTTTTTGTTGTTTTGTTAATGCATATTCTAAAATTTGACCGACTGTTGCGCAACGTCGTGCAGGTTGGTTACCCCACGGATCCATTCTTAGTGTAATCTACATGTTGTTCTTAGATTATTCCTGGTCTAAGTGAGGTGTGTATGAGACACTGTATGTTTGTAAATGCTTCCACGACACGACGATACAAAATTTCAGCTACGATCGTTTTTACCTAAAATTAGGTAGGTGAATAGTGTTGTTGTTTTCAAAACAAATTTAACTTTTTGCGTTTAGTATAAACATTTTGGTAACCTCGTACAATAGACAAACCTTATAATTGGAAAATTGCAAATATTATGATGTACTACTTTTTTCGTACGATTGCTAAGAGTAAACATAGTTGATACAAACACGATTACTTTTGCGTAATAAGGATAAAGACCGGTATACAAATTAATAATCTTTTGAGTTCGCCGGTTTGTTTTTGTTTATAGTAAATGAAAACGGTACGTATTGCATAAAAACCGTTACATAAAACGATTTGAATTTAGTAGGAAGTTAGTTAGAAGTAGGAGCTCAGTACTCTACCAGCTGGGTGAAAAATAATTAATACATGCGGCGTTAAGTTTAGTAAATAAATACATACATTGCTTAAATAAATTAAAATAAAAAAATATACAAACGGCGTCGTAATTTTTTCAATTTTCCTAAAGTATTTAGTTCCATTAGAAAAGAAAAAATACGTCTGTGTAATTTAAATTTTGAATTAATTTAAGTAATACGAAATACGGACATACAACTAAAAATTTGAGATCATAACTATTAGAACTCATGTAGCAAAAATGTAAGTATGTATATATATACGTATGGACAAGCATTTATTTATTTATTTTATTTGTGTGTATTTTAATGCAAATAGCTTAAACGATTAATTACTTGTTGTTGCGACCTTTTTGCTGCGTTAGCGCCATCTAGGGATGTCAAAATCACTTTTGACCAAGCACCCTAATGTGTCTGTATATAATTTGTACGTTTGTATGTAGGGGTAATCTTTGGAACCGCTGGTCGGATTTACAAAATTATTTTACTGATAGATAGCTACAATGTTTCTGAGTGCTATAGGCTATATATTATAATTGATTTGTGTATTTTAGTGGAGCTATCGCTTTAAAGGCTGCAATCCCAGGATACATTAAGCTAGTTTATTAATTAAAGTAGTACTTACAAACAATGATATTTGTCATAGTGTTCCGCTTGGTTTTTCGTCAAAGCCGTCACAGCTGCGTGTAAACACTCATTCTGAAACAAAACAGAAATGATTTACATTTACGATTTAAAAATGGAAAATAAAAATAACAAGTAGGTATTTATATTTAGAGCTTTATTCGAACTTTTAATAATTATATTTAGTTGATTTCTGGACACAATTAAGAGATCCACATTTGAACGTATAAATAAATTTTAATATAGTATCTATTTCAGATAAAATTTTTGCCAAATTTTGATTGGGTTAATGTAGACAAAATTAAATTTGACTTGACTGACATACTTGTTCAGTCCATTAAACGTATTTTGGAACTCTCGAAGAGTTTTTAACGAGCTTCTCATTGGAAGGGAAAGTGATTTTTGAAAGGAAGGCAATGAATTCAAATTGCCTAATTTAGATAACTAGTACTTCGGTAATGACGTTGATTTGGTCTGAATTGCTACTTTTACTACTTATTAAATTGCCGTATTTTATTAAGTGTAAAAGCTAAAAAAAAGAAAACAGTGAATTGTATCTTTTGAGGGGGGAATCATCAAATTACTTCTCTCACCCAGGGTTAGGTGGAGAGAGTATCAGACTCATTCGGTTGCCCTGCAACCCAGGCTAATAATAAACTATTTAACATTAGCTTATTCCGAACGAGCTAAGTTTTAAACGCAATTTTGTTTTCTCATCCCAGCTCGGAGCAGGAGAAGAACGGAGTGCTTTTTTTGCAGTAAAAGTACCACACTCTCTTTCGCTCGACTTAGGGCAGGAGAAGTTACTATAGAAATTTGCAAATAAAAATTAATGAATGAAAAATGCACTCTGATCTGGTTTATGCATATAGCTATCCTTTATAATATACAAAATAACTTAGCACAAAGTAATTTGAGTACCTACTCAAACTGTATCCATTGTTTTCATTCCAAACGTTAAAGCGCAAGAAGAACAATTTTCCGACATAGCTTCGCCGTACCATTTATTAGCCGGGCGTTTAAATGCAGTGTCTTGATAAATTGCGCCTCCAAAGATAATAGACGTCATAATCTTACGACTTTTTGTATCTCCTTTATTTGGTTTTGTATGTTTTAATCTTTGACTTTTGAATATATTTAAAAGGTAGGTACGTAACATTAGCTTAAAATCTCACTTTATGTAAAATGTCTAATCACCTTTGCTTTTTTATTAAACTTCGATAGCAAAAAAGCAATATAATTGTATATAAGGATAAAATATTTATAAGACACGAAAAATTGCTTTCACAAAAAAATCAGTTCCCAGAACAAGCTGAGAATAAGTTTTTTTTTTTCTTTATAAAAATGGTTTCCATGAAATTCAATTCTAGATCTCTTGAGTCCAAAAATAAAAAACTCTAATTACAGTGTTACTAAACCTACAAAGTTAAACTTCAATCCAATTTTCCAAACAGACGATCGTCAAAAAATATTGCACTTACCAACTTTTCGTCTAAAATTACGACCAGTTTTGGAATTTTCTGGTTTATCTTTAGGGATGTAAAAACCTTCCGTCTGATCTCTAGGTACAATAGAACTAATTATATGTCTCAAGTGCAATTCTTTGTGAGTCTTTGTATTTTATATGAAATGACTGCCTTATGTCGACAACCCGCATGGAACATACAATAGATTCTTATTAAGACATGATTTGTGTGGAGTTGGATCAGACAAGTGTGGGCAAGCCATGCATAGTGATACCACGGCCTTAAACAAAACTAGAGTGCTACGCTAGCATTGTTTGTCAATATGTGATAGAAGTTTCAGAAAGGTCATTCCCAATCAAATACCTGACACCTAAAAAGTCACCAACGCTCTGGTAGGGACCACCAGAGTGTTGGTGACTTTTTAGGTGTCTGCTGAAGCCAGTCCATTAGGTGGAGCTAAAAGTTTTCCATCAGGTGATCACTTAAAAAGGATTTAATTCCTTTCATAGTTAGATCTATTGTCATTATTTTAAGGTTCCTAAATAGCTTTAACATCAAAAACGTTACAACACTTCAACAGTACTATAATATCACCTACTTTGTAATATATTGATATTTCCAACGACTTGCAGTGCTTGCTAAGGCTTCATGTCCTCACTCGTAGTCGGCTTACCATTCCCCGCTGATCCGGTTAACACCTGATCTAATTCTAGTTATAGCGGATATTTTGACGTGGCCCATGTATTTTCTGCCTCATTTGACTTACAATGTTCGGCTAAAAGTTTCAACCTCTTTAGCACTAGCATACGCAATTTTGGCGAGAAATGTTGTGTCGGAGATCGAGTACGCAAAAATGTAACTGGAGAAGAGAGTAATGATGAAGGTGAACTCAATATGCGTAATAGTTATTGTTCCTTTGAAATCAAGTCAATAGAAAGTTAAATAATGATTTGTACATACAGCGTTGTACGAAAGTAGGAGTCCCACCCGTGATAAATAATATTGAACGAGGAATAAAAGTAAATACAGTATGCGGAATAAAAATGCGAGCAGAATTACATAATACAAGGACTAGTATGAATGAGAAATTGATGCTAATAGAGCGCCATCGACGCGATGCCGAAGCTGGTAAAAAATAAAAATTATGAAGATGTCAGATATCCTCGAGTCAATTATAATAGTGTAAAAATATTTAGATAAAAAATAACGGTAATATCGTAAAGTCTAAAATTATGTCCATTCTAGTTTTAGTCAACATTAAACGGACGATTCTCAAACAATATTTTCTTCAAAATTATAAGAAAATGTGATATTTTTGAGTAAATTAAGTTGTATCGTCCATTTCAGTGAAACGAGCCGACACTCAATGTCTCGCTTGATCACCCAGACCGTCTGGATATCATTTTTCAACGCTTAAAACGTCTGCTTTATTAAATATACTTAATACTTGCAAAGATATTATTTCATAATATTTGTTTTGTCACCGAAAATTTACTGGAATATTTTGCTGTAAGATAAAGAAATTTGGAAATTATCGGTCACAATAATGTTTCTGTAAATGCTCTGTTTATATTTTTATTATTACTAGGGCAAAAAGACGGATATTAAGGGGTTAAAATTAAAGATTAAGCTCAGTATCATGCTATTAGAGAGATTCATGTCCAGCTTAATAAGGACACCCACTGAAGGTGATTGCGTCATCATTTTTTTTATGTAGTAGGTCGGCAAACGAGCAGACGGATTACCTGATGGTAAGCAATCAGCGCTGCCCATGGATGAGTTACGAGTGCGTTGCCGACCTTTTAGGGATTAGGGATTTGGAGATTTAGAAACTGGGAAGGGATTGGAAAGGGGAAGGATTGGGCCTCCGGTAACCTCACTCACACGGCGAAACACAACACTGTGGTTGTTTCATGTCGGTTTTCTGTGAGGCCATCATCATCAGCCTGATGTCGTCCACAGCTGGGCATAGGAACCGCGGTTTCACCACAATTAACTAGATTTTCAGCTCTTCTCGTCCATCTACTGATGCCAGCCAATCTATGGATATGGTCAGTCTACCTAGCTGGAGGGCACCCTACACTACGTTTGCCTAAACGTGGTCTCCACTCTAGAAAACGTGCTTACCCAATGGTCATCGATCCTTCGACAAATGTGATTTGCCATTGCCACTACAGTTTGATAATCCTTTGATGATCACTGCGTAGAAAGCATGAATTGATATTTTTTCTATATCGAACGTGTAAAAATAAACTCAGAAATCGATAGTCTGCTTCAGAAATTATGATGTGTATCATAAATCAAACTACATACTCATACAAATCAAAATATCCCTTAGACTTATTGATATAAAGACAGAAATAAATAAAATATTCAAAACAGCAAAACAACAACAAACAAAATAGACTCGACCATCAATTATCCTACTGGGTACAACACAAAACTTGAAATCCACTAAATCATAAAACTTGACAGTTCTATCAGTTTTAATAAAATGAATCTGTCAAAATGATTTGTCATTGAAATTAATTGGGCGATTGTCGACGCCAGGGTGTAATTCTATTTATAATAATTTTAAGGGTTCCTATAATTAAAAGGGGAGATAACAAAGACAGATATGGCAAGACTAGTGTTGTGAAAATTAAGGAAACGAGTAAAATGATAATTACTTTTCCTTTATTATTATTATTTTGTCAAGTTCTTCATATTTCGTCTTTGATGTTGGAAAATATGAGTGATTTATGAATAGGGGTTGATTTTGGACTTCGAAAAATAGATGACTCAATATTTTGTTTCTATTTGTTGTCTTATATAATGATATGATCTTTAATGACAATGCTCAGTAATACGAGTATTGTTATGTAATTTGCTCATTATCACATAGTATAACATAAAGTCACTTTCTCTGTTCCTATATCTCTATGTATGTTTATATCTTTTAAATTACGCAACGAAATTTAATTTATTTTCCTAAATGGACAGAGTGATTTGAAGAGGAAGTTTTGTCATGTGTATAGTTTATACCATACATTAAAAAGTGGTTGGTGTAGTTAAAGCTAGTTTTCTTAAAACTGAAAGAACTATTTTAACTTTAACTGTAAATTAGATGGTTATTATTTTATGCAAACTCAAATAATCATCGTTTGTACTATACCTACATACTAAATTGAAATGATATATTTAATAATATTATAAAACTAAATAGTTATTTTTGTTTTCTTGAACGCGATGATATCCCAAACTACTGGTTCGGTTTCAACAATTCTTTTGGTGTTGGATAG